TCTTGTTGACAATACTATACAGTTTGTAAGGCAAGCAGTAGCTAAACAACTGCATTGGGATGAAATTTGGGATATGATAAGACAATTAAATTTTGAAGATGATGGATGTACATATGCCATAGTTAAAAATTTGAAATTGAGTGTGAACCACATAACACTTCAACTGTTGTAAGTTTTTTTTTAAATAATTTACATAAATTATTAGTTTTATTTTATCATAGTAATTGTTGATGTTATTATTATTATTAAGTGATCCTTATAATGAAGAAAACCAAAATGAAGAGAACAGTCAATTGATTGATATAGATTTAGGTCAGTCTGCTTTTGGAAATGCTGAAAGGTAAATAGAGAATTACATTTTAATTTAATAATAAATATGTATTGATATTTATTGTTTCATATTATAGATACTATGGGTCTAAAAAACAATCAGCTATCAAAGAGAAAAAAACCATTGACTCCTCAAGTACAGTTTTAAAAATGGCTGAAAAAAAAACTAAACAAACTTTGAAAGATATGCAAGTTGTTGCTTCTATAAATAAAGTTCGCAAAACGTATTGGTTTGAAAAGTTTTATTGGTTTATATCTTCGGAAAATTATTTAGGTAAAATTTTGTGTTCAATTTTAAGCCAAGCCTACACTAGCGATTTAGTTGTTTGATAAAATAGCCTAGAGTTGTAAATCAAATATTAATTTATAGTGTTGGCCAATGATATTTCTTACTATTTTAAATATCAATATCCAAAAATATCGCAATATCAGGGTAATTGATTGTGAATTAGAACAATGAAGTTACCGGACGTTTGTAGACTATGTAACAATAACAGTAAAGATAAAGTAGAGAATAATACAAGTATCTAATAATTTACATAATAAATTCTGGCACGTGGCGTTATATTTCAAAGAATAATTAAAATAAATAATTTATATTTATGATTTAAAATATATAATAATAATAGTATAAACTTAGACACCTAATAATTAATTAATATTTAATGTACACCCAATATGTACTATGTAACTAATTTTTTTTTTTGTGTTTCGCCCACCTATTGAACATCAACGTCGGTATCGATAATTCAAAATAATATAATTGGCAACACCACTAATTTACTTAAATATAGAAGTAGAATATTTGTTTCTTTTCACACTATAAATATTCCGTTATTAATAATAATATGAATCATAATCATCTAATGTTGAATGATGTGTAAACAGTACCAAGTATGGAAATCATTTTTTTTCTCACTTAGGTCACTTCTTTTAATTGTGGAGACATTCACATTATAAAATTACTTATAAATTCTAGATGGTAGTTTTTTCCTACCTCTTGGTTCATTGACCAATTTCTATATTCTTATTAGTTTCTCCACAAACTTTGTACTCCGTGTGCTTACTTATACCTGTATAGGTTTCCGTGACATGGTAACTGTCGTACTGTACCAAACTGTTAACTAGATGGTTTTTTCCTCTCATTCCGTTCACCGAACAATATAGTTTTATGTGACTTATTATTTTAATATGACCAATGTCTTCCATGCTATGTATAAATATAATTTATTTTTCTCTTTCCTGTCTTGGTGTATTAGGATGCCATTGCCCATGTCAAACCTGTATTACAGTTTAGTCTAATTTTCTAGATATTATTATAACACACATTTTACAAGAAAAATTCCTAAACCTTTTTAGATAAAAAATAAATAACCAAATCTAATTAAAACTTTAGTTTGCATTTTTAATTTTAATTTTTAAAAAATACATGTTTTTGAGGCTTTAATATTTTTATATTACTCACAAATTTATTTTTATTTAACAACATTTAATCCACCACTCTCCCTCTGCACTAATAAATATAAAAATATAAATACTTTTCCATTTGAAATATGAAACTAACTGGTTTAATAAAAACAATTGAAACCTATTTTATGTGCTAATCTCTCGGCTTAAATCACTGAATGTTTTTAATTTGACTTCCATTATTAGTTCCTTTTATAATATATTAAGATATTTTATATTGGCATTACACATCTTGCTGTTTCATACATTGGCTAGCAAGATAATTGTTAGATTCAATAACACTTATTATAACTTACCATAATGTAAGTGAATTTTATTATATTTCTCGGGCTATTTTATTTTCTAAATAAATCATTAGTGTAAGTGTGTAACTAGGTCATTATTTTTAGTTTTAGTTTTGATTACCAGAGTACAATATTATTATGAAATAATTATAATTAAAAATGTTAAATAAAAACATTGATCAGTAATTCCATGAAATTTTAATATATAATGCAGTGTTAATGTATTAAATATATTGTGTTTTCACGTTTCAAAGATTGTTTTACACAGATTTTAAATTTATTATAGAAATAGTTAACTTTTTTATTTTGGATATATTTTTTTATTTTTTATTTTTTATACTTTATACAAGTACATAGAAGTTAGTTGATATTTAAGAGGATATCAGTGCACTATTTGTTTTCTCCCTCTGACCTTGCGCAACATAGAAAATTGTACGTTCACAATAATGGTTGTAATCGTAATAATTTTTAAAATTAAGGTGAAATGACCTTTTATAAATTTTAAAGGTAAGGTCAATCTAGGGCATCTCATAGGCTTATATTTTAATTTTAAAGCGAGTTATGGTCTATAAACAATTTCCAATTTTAAAATACTCATAACTCGATTTAAAATTAAAATATAATAAAACGCCTATGAAATGCCCTAGATAATAATCTCTCTTTTAAATGTGTAATATTTATTATTTCAGAGGGGGAGTGGTAGTTTAAATGTTACCTCTTATGATAATTTCACTCTAATTTTAGAAATTATTATGATTATAATTATTACTGTGAATCACAAAAAATACTTATTGACCACTAATAATGTGTCCTTACAGACAAGAATAAAGCTCTTAAAAATATATGTGTGGAGTATTGCCCTATATGGGTGTGAAACTTGGACAATCAATAAAGTAGAGAGAAACAAACTTGAGGTCTTAGAAATGTGGTGTTATTGAACATTTTTTAAGATTAAATTGACTAAAATCGTGAAAAATGAAGCAGTATTAACTAGAGTAAAGGAAAAACGACAATTGTGGCGTAGAATTAAGGTTAGAAGAGACAAAATGATAAGACACGTACTACACCATGATAGTTTAACAAAGAATGTAATAGAAGGTGACAGAAGGTTATATTGGAAGAAGGCCAAGGATGGAATATATGAAACAAGTCATGATTGACATGGGAAAGGATAGCTACAAGGGACTAAAGGAATTAAGTTACAATAGGGAAGCATGGATAACTGCAGCAAACCAGTCAAACGACTGAAGCTGCAAAGAAGACTGTGAATCTGAAATTTGCTATGATGCGCTTGGGTCAGAGAGAAAAAACAAATAGTTTGCTAACATTGTCTTAATATAAAAATACAAACAATTATTTAACATACTTTTCATGCTTATTAGTTGTTATTGTTTATTCAACATTTTATCAACTACCTAATATATTTTATCTATTAACATATATTAAGTTTTAAATTTTTAGTTCTATAAGTAGATTATTGTCTGGTAGATCTTAGGCAATCTTCTTTATGACATTGAAATTGTATACTACAATTTTATTATTTATTTATATTAATTTGTATCTGTTATATTTTAAACTGATGCTATTGATATAATGTTATTTAAATATTTTATTCATTATATAATATGCATTTGTAGAACATGCTATATATCATATATATATATAATCTACCATTGCCTATATGAAACTACATAAGTATTGTGATCTATGGTAATATTTTTTCATTACAGTACGTGATCTATGAACATAAATATAATTTAATGAATAAAATATTTTTATATTTTTTCCTAAACCTTAGTACTTGTTTTTATCTGTTCCTGCAATCTATTTGTCTGTTGCATTTTACTTCTCAACTACAACAGTTTATATATCGTGTATTTGTTATATTTTCAAGATTTTATTCCTTTTTTTTTTTCAAAATTGTGTCACTGTTCGTCCCAGTCCAATATAATTATATTTAACTATTACTAACTTAACTATATTGTGACGCACTTGTAACAACTAATGTCTGATGTGCATCAGATTATTTCAAGGTTACAACTATTAAGATTATTACTAGTAATATATTTTCGATATAATTTACACTATATTTAAATATAGTATAGAATTTAGGAACAAAAATGTAGGCTGCATACAGTAAATTATAAAGTATCATGTAAACAGCCATAATATATTCTGAATAACACAGTACTTTTAAAACTTCAGTAAAGTAACTTATCTTTTAGATTTTCTTTATGTTTTCAATGTGTACAATCACCGTTAAGATACATGATTTGTGAATGCATATTATAAATAGCAACTTACTATAGAATTTCATAAAAATACATTTAAAATTATTTGTTTTTTGTAATACTTATCTACTTTTTATTTCTCATATTTAGTTATTGCTGGACGTGACGCTCATCAAAATGAAGTTATTGTTAAACGATATATGAAGTCATCAGATGTTTATGTACATGCTGGATTTAGTGGTGCAACTACTGTTATAATTAAAAATCCAATAAATCAACCTGTCCCACCTGCTACACTCAATGAAGCAGCTGTTATGGCAATTTCATACAGGTAGATAAATATTTTTCAAAATTACTGTACTCTATTCAGGATAAGAATGCCCACTCGACTGGCAAAAACTAGTCCATGCCATGCTGCCCCTCCCATTTACACGGAGGCGAGGAGTAAAGTTGGTTGCCGACAATTGGTGCCTATTTACAGAGCACCTGGCACTGCTTGAAACTGTACAACTGTTCTGGTGGCTCATTATGCATGCCCTAAAGCAGGGATTCCCAACCTTTTTTACCTAACGCCGCACTTGATCATTTTAAACATTTCCACGGCACACAAATAAAAAATAATGAATATACATAATGGCATATTGGTATATAATAAATTGTTTTTATTTCATATTTTAATGATACAAATTTAATGTGATATTTGAGACTGGTATTTTTTACATAATTCCTCTATTCGGGGTGAAACAGTTGAAACAGCAAGACACAAATCAGGTTCAACATTTTTCAAACGGTTTCTACTACTTGTTTTTATATTGTTCAGAGCAGAAAATGCCTGTTCACAAAGATATGATGTGGAAAATGGCAATAACAATAGTATCGCTTTCTGAGAAATAGCTGGATATTCTGAAGCTAAATTTAACCAAAAGGAATCCTTGTTATTTTTTTGACTATTAAATAATATTCGAATAGTAGAACTAAAACACATATCAATGAATTCATTCTTTTCGTCATTTGTAAGATCAAGTTCATTCTCAAATGGCAACACGACCCAATCTACAGATGTTGTCAATGATGGAAAATAATGTTCAATTTTTTCTTCGAGTAATATAAGATGTTCAATTATAAGTTGTTGTAGTTCTTTAATATTGGATTTCCCTATCGTTAATTTTGAAAATGTCGGAAAATTTGAAAAATCCCCTTTAATTATTGAAGATTTCCAAAATATAATTTTGTTTTTGAACCCTCTGATTTTATTTGCCGAAGAATTATTGTTTCCTGACGTCCTTGCATTGACGCATTTAGATCGTTTAGTTTTTTGAATATATCAGCCAGTATGACAAAATATAACACCAGTTTTCATTTCGAAATAAATGTTGGTATACTGGGAGATTTTCTTTTTCAAAAAATAATTCTAATTCTTCTTTCAATTAAATAACTTGATTAAATACTTGACACTTGAGGTGGTGATAGCCACCTTACTTCTGTATGTAGCAATAAATGTATATGATCCGAACCCATTTCCTTACAAATAGTTTCAAAAATCCTTGTTTTCAATGGCCGAGATTTAATGTAATTTACAATTTTAATAACATCATTTAAGACTTTTAACATTTTTTCTCCTAGTGTTTTTGCAACCAGAGCTTCTCGATGAATAAAACAGTGTGTTATAAATTATAATCATAGCTGGATTTTGAATTTTAGCTAGAGTAACAAAACCTTTATATTTCCCGGTCATAGACAGTGCACACACCACAACAATAAATCCATGATAATTCAGATTTTTCAAAAAAATTATTTACTACGTCAAATATGTCCTTCCCTGTTGTTGTTGACTTTAATTCTTTACAAAATAAAAACTGCTCAACAATATTAGAATTATCAACAAATCTGCCAAAACCTAGTAATTGAGCTTTAGAAGTTCTGTCAGTACTCTCGTCTATTTGTAATGAAAATAATTTTTGATTTTTAATTTTTTCTAAAACAATGTCATTAATATCATCAGCCATTTCATTTATTCGGCGGCTAATAGTATTGTTGGAAAGTGGGACTTTGGATATAACATCTTTAGATTCTTTACCTAACATTGTTTCAACCATAGCTAAGCAGGCAGGTCCTATTAATTTTTCGCCAATAACATGAGAGTTCCTATTTTTAGCAACCAGTTCTGCGACTTTAATTGATGCTTCAAGAGCTTTATCAGATATAGTCACTCTTTTTATCATACAAGATGCAGCTCTTTTATTTGAATTCAGGAGGCGTTCAAAATGTAGTCGTGTTTTTAATGACTCACCCGGATGTTTTGTTGTTAAATGCCTTTTCAATTTACTGGGTACCATTGCTTCATTGCTTAACTTTTCACTACAAACGATACAAACAGGTAAAGGACAGTCAGTATCGCCATTCCACGTAAATCCAAAACATAAATAACCATCAGTATATTTACGTTTAACTTTTAAATTTAAACTTTCATCACTTATTGAAGTGGATTGTTTAATATTAATTTCTAAATTTAAATTGTTGTCATTTACATTACCATCATCGTCATTCGTTAATTTACGCTTTTTTACAAATCCATCCATTTTTAAATTTAAGTACAATATATCTCGATCAAAATTAACACGTTACGAACAGTTATATAATAACACTCGCACGATTGTCACTATACTGAAGAACAGTTGCTCAATGACGCTCGTATACCCGTATCGGGTATTTATCGAATTTATAATAATAGCTGTGTCTTGTGGACATTTTATCAATTTTTATTTTTAGGAGATTTCTAGTTAAAACTTTTTATAAATAATATTTTTGCTTATATTATGTAGTACACAATTACAATGTAAGACACAAATTACACGGCACACCCAAATAATTTCGCTGCACACTTATGCGCCGCGGCACGGTGGTTGGGAATCCCTGCCCTAAAGTGTATAATTTTATTCTGAATAGAATATAAAAGTCACAATTTTGTCGGCAAAGTGGAAAAGCCACTAATGGCAATTTTATAATTTAGAGTTAGCATCACCATGCTGTGTAAAAACATATTCTCTTTCTAAAGAAAGATAACTAAACTAAAGATAAACTAAAGTTAAGACTAGTAAAAAAATGCATGTTTTATTATGTCACCAATGGAATAATAAATATCACAAATAAAAAATAAAAACAAAGTCACCTAACATATTATGATGTGTTTTATCAAATACTAATAAAGTGGGTAAGTGGATAATACTTAGCTGTACAGTAAGTGTCTAGAGAGTCTCTGTAATGGACGTGTTCAATTTGAATTCAGTGATTTAAAATTATTGTATATGAAAAAAGATTCTGAGCGAAGAAGGTCTGTCAGCCTATAATATTACAAAGTATTTATATTTTATCATATTATTGTGATTAAAATAATTTATTTGACTATTAAGCATTAGTAAATCAGTAGGTTGAATTCATTTTCAAAAAAAAATGGCATTTGAAAATTTCATTGTGTGTATATTTTATACTCTACAACAGGGGTCTCCAAACTTTTTTATTCAAGGGCCACAAAAAAAATCAAATGCTCTTAGCGGGCCAAAAGTTTATTAACACACAATTTTTAATTTTATGATAATATAGGTACCTATATAAATAATATGTTTACTTTATATTTTTATATAAAATATTGTTTACTTTACAATATACTTAAATAAAAATAAATAGGTATAAATATAATATGATATAAATACATTTTTGAAATATTTTTTTTATCTATATTTACCTATGCGTCCTATGCGGGCCACGGGCCGGTTATAACTTGTTTGCGGGCTGTATCCGGCCCACGGGCCGTAGTTTGGAGACCCCTGCTCTACAAGTTTTAAGTACTCTCGAATAATATTTTTCTATTGCAAAATAATTACTAAAATTGTAATTCTTGGTTTTAATATGTAATTTTGTCCAAATTTAAACTTAACTTACATGGAACCTTGTTTTAAATTTTCAATTCTTGCCTATCGAAATTGAACATTTTATACACTTTTAATTACTAAATAATTTGATAAGTAGTAACTAAAATATAAAATATGATATTCAAATTTTATAGAATTTTGAAAACTGGAAAACCGTTACAGATACCCTTAAATGATTACAAAAATAAATAAAATATTTTGAAATATACACAAAATATTATTTTGATAACCAATTAATGGTAATATTTGTGACTATGGCAATTTCATAATACCATTATTATAGTTAAAAAGCTACTTAATATTATCTCTAATAGATGCAAGTAATAGAATAGCATTGTCAATCCAAAAAAAAAATAACAGATACATATTAATTATTGATTTGATAGGAAGATTCACAGAAGAATTTTAGTAAATAGATAACTTTAAGGCTGTTGAAGTTGATTGTTTTTTTCATGCGTTTAGACTAATATTCAAAAGAAAAAAATTTGCTTGCGAGAGTACAATTTTAATATAAAAAAGTTAATTTTAAAAAAGAAAATTATTTTTTTTTACTATATTAATTAAACAATACAATAAATCCTTAATCCATTTCCTACAACACCTAGAAAATAGAATAAGGAATTTAAATATGTTTCAAAATTAAAATTGTGCTTTCCGTACTGCTTGAATTTTTCTTTTACTTTCTGTGGCTTTCATAACCACTGGAGTTGAAACTCTTTTGATCGTAAAATATAGTGGGGTGTGACTAGAGTATATAAGCCACAGGCTTCTAAAAATCTTAGTTTATCTTTAACGTAGTCATATAGGCTATAGAATATTGCCAAAATCCAACCCCTTAAAAAAGGCCTTTAAACAGCCTTAAATGTGGTTTCCCAACATTTCACTATTTTCCATTAGTGACTTTGTGTCATGTCAATGTTATTATAAATTATTTATATTTTATAAATGTTTTGTTTTTATACACATATATATTTTAATTTTTTAAAACTTAATTTTAATAGCAATCTATTAAAATGTGATGTTAAAATTAATAATTTATTAAATTAATATTGCTTGTTTTTATTTGATATCATTATGATCATTTAAACCCTTGTTTATCTAATACAAGTTAGGACAGCTCACACTGCGAGTGTGGTAAATAAACGGTTTCTAAGCAAGAAACTGCAATTCCAAAACCATTTAAAAAGAATTTGCTAACATTAATATTTTTTATTGTATGAATCTATATTAAGTACTTATACAATAAATAATTACCTTAATAGACTTAATATCAACAATCATAATTAAATATTTTAATACAAACAATCATACCTAAGTAAAGTAACTATGAACAATAGTTGAATTAATAAATATATTAATATCAACAATCATAACTATGTACTGATTTCTAACGGACGTACGAACACAACGGGAATATAATTTTTTCTAAGCTTATGTTTAGGAACCTAAAATATTGTATATTATTTAAATTAAAAAAACAATACAATTTATGATTAATTAATAGTAATTAATTCAGTGTTTCTTGGACTATGAAAATTAATTTACAAAATGCATTTTGGGTGAAACCTGAACAAGTATCTAAAACTGCCCCCACTGGAGAATATTTGACTACTGGCAGCTTTATGATACGTGGTAAAAAAAACTATTTACCAGCAACTCATCTTATATTAGGTTTAAGCTTTCTGTTTAAACTAGAAGATAGTTCTATATCTAGGTAAGTACTAAAAAAATATTTACATGACAAAAATAAAATTACAATTATAATTGTGTTTAGGCATGCAAATGAACGTAAAGTTAAAGGTATCGAATATGAAGGATTAGATAACATTGAAGAAAACAATGATGAATTTGAAAATATACCGAGTGAAAATGATAGTGATGAAGGTAGTACCTATTAAAACGTTTATAATATGAAATTGGATGAATTATCTATTTATCAAATTATGTGATTTGATTATATTTATAAAAATAACTTATTTCATTATTATGTAGATCTAGAGAAAAATATAGAAACTCAAAACAAAGAAACCCCATGTGCAGTCAATGATGATGGTGAAAGTTTAGAAGTTAAAACAAATAATAAACATTCAGAAGATGAAGAAGAAGAAGAAGAAAGAAGAAGAAAAGAAGAAGAATTAAGATCCAATAATGAAACGTCAAAAAAGTAATGACATATTTATTTAAAACTTACCAATCTATTTATATTGCTAACAACTTACTCATATAACTATGTCAGTGTACTATTTGTATTCTCTGGCCCATATACAACATACAAAATTTGTTTTCAGAAAAACCAATCTTGTGTTGTTACTTGTTAGGTTTAAAATTATAGGGAATTGACCTAATTACTATCAAACAAAATAATGTATGAGAATATTATCTTTTATGATTGGTTCTATATGATTTTTACAATATTTCTATTTTTGAGAAAATTATGAGTATGTAAATATTTAATTTTTAAAATATAATTAAAAAATTTAAAGTACTAGCATAGATAATATTCTTTACTTTAAGTTTGATAATAAGTCAATTCACTCTAATATACATATTATGTTGAATATTACAACTGTGGTACCACCCGTATAGTGTGATAAGCGGCAAACCTTACCCTCATACTCTCTAGTTAATGGTTCTCTAAACTTAATTAAAATGGCACTGTTAACTTGCGAGGTATGATGGTATGCACTTGCCGATTCTTTGTCCATTCCTTCTAAGTTGGAATAACACAAAGATTAAGTTTACCTTGGCACTATTCAGTTACTTGGAACACTTAGCCCGTACTATGATTGTTGCTTCACACGTACAATCGTTGTACCCACGTCCTCTCCGAATCACTCAGCAACATCGGGACTGCTCGTGCCTGTTGCATACGGCTATATGCCTTTATAAAGCAAAATATTATTGCTGCCTCAGCATATCTGTCATATATCTTGACATATGTCACTAATTTACAGTTTAAAATATTCTCATCTATATTACATATATTATATTAAATAATATTATGCTGATGACTGTCTACAATACATGTCAAAACATAAGAATGGTTTTGCTGAATGCAAATTTGCAATATTGAGCATGAATCAAAGAGAAAATAAATGTTGCTCTAAGATCTTATTAAATATACCTCACAGAATACAGAAACTTAGTATTAGTCCCTTGTCTTGCTTTAGTCACATAAATATAAAATAGAGCTGAATTGTTGCATTAATTTAAACCCAATGATAACACTGCATTAAAAAAAAAAAGGTAGTCCATCATAGGACGCTTGGCAGATGTGAAACATTGAAATTGATGGTTGTTGAAAGAATTTATAATATAAAGAAAACCAAATAAATAAATATGGAATAAAATAAATAAAAATATAGGGTCGTTAATAAAATACATTTTTTTTCTTATTATTATTATTATATCAGTGTTATAGGTGTAACAAGTATTCCAAACTGTAATGATACATGTAAATCTGTCAAACAATCTGATGCTGTATCTTCAGATAGTGATGATGATGATATCGAACTGGATGATGTCAATGATTTAGGTAAGACTTTGTGAAAAGTATAAAAAAAAACTTGATCTACTTAGTCAATAATAGTAGAGTATTGATTATCAATACGCCCATTATCAGTGAATTAACAAAATGTAGATATTCCAAT